CTGTATACTAAGAACATCATCAAGAAACCAAAAAGGCTACTGCCTCACACTATATTAGGCGGGAGTTGGGAACTGGATTGGTTCAGCCTGTATAGATGACAACCTTCCTCACCATACCATCTTTAATGCACTCCTCATTCAATACAGGGTCATGATTAAGAGCAAGAACTCTAGAGTTGGTCTGCCTTGATTAGATTCTGCTCTGCCAATACTAGCTCTATTATTTATTAGCTGTGTGACCTTGGGCAAGTTTCTTCACTTCTCTGGGCCTCAGTTTCCTCATCTGTAAAATAATATATAAAGTGCTTAGAACAGTACCAGGTGCAAAGTAAGCACTATAAATGTTACTATTATCATTATTATTCAGAAAGCAATTAAGTAGTCCTGGGGAAGGACAATAACACAATTCCTGAGGGAATAATGTATGCAGTAGTTTCTAAAAGACCCTTTCCCTAAACACTGGTTGAGAGGTACTGCTCTAGGACAGAAGTCCAAAGCTGCTACAAACACTGGACAAGTCATCTTTAGATCTGTGAAAGAAAATGTATGTAGTCTGTCTATTTGGAGATCATAAAAGTTGTTAAGCCCTGAGGAAGGTTAACTTTGGAAACCTAGTTACAGAGCTGACCTCTTGACCTCTTAATTACTGACCTTTTGTTAAGGATCAACTTCCTTCCTCGTTTCCTTGTACCTGGCTCAAACCAGATGGTGCCTCAGATAAAAGACCCCTAACTACTGCATCCTTAATATGGAATGTTAAATATACTCTTCCTAAAAAAGAAACACTGTCTATAACCAATCAAATTGCTGTAACTATGCATTAAACTTGTTTAGAAAAATGTTGAAATCCTGTTAAGCTTCCCCAGACCTTGCATATAAAAGACTCTCAAATCTCTCCACTTCAGAACACTGACCTCATCTTTTTGGAATCTGTGTCCTCCTGGGTGGCCATCCTCAAACTTTGCACTCAAATAAATTCAAGATTTAATCATGTTGCCTGAATCTTGTTGTTAAGTTTGACAGATTCAAGAGTGGGTGGGGAGCAATCCAGTTATAATCCATTATGGATCAAATGTTACCTGCAGAAACTTTTTTGTTGACCAATATTATACTTTATTTTCTTTGTTTTTTGTTGAGAGAGTCGCACTGTTGCCAGGGCTAGAGTGCTGTGGCTTCAGCCTAGCTCACAGCAACCTCAAACTCCTGGGCTCAAGCAACCCTCCTGCCTCAGCTTCCCAAGTAGCTGGGACTACAGGCATGTGCCACCATGCCTGGCTAACATACATACATACATATATTAGTTGTCTAGCTAATTTCTTTCTTTTTTTTTTTTAGTAGAGATAGGGTCTCACTCTTGAACTCCTGAGCTCAAACAATCCTCCTGCCTTGGCTTCCCAAGAGTGCTAGGATTATAGGCATGAGTCACCACACTGGCCAATACTATTCTTTAAAAGGAAATAAAACTACTAAGAAAATCACAGGCTTCTTTTGAATACATGGAGCTTGGCACCTTTCATTTTATATCCAGACTACTTCAAGAATTTACATTACCTACCTGGGCCCTGAAGACATCTGAAGTTACCATCCCTGTTAAAGTCCCTGGGCTCCATTTTTAGTACCTATGGTTCTAATCCTCAAGGGGCTATAGACTTACAAATCCTTATGTATCTGGCACTATATGAATGCTTGTCCCTTACCTTTTGGTTTGGAGTCACACCAGAGCTTCAGTATCTTTTCTGGGATGATTTTCAGTATGACTGAAAGACCACATAACTTGTTTCATGCACTACAAACCAATTATAGCTATGTGACACCTACAAGAATCCACACTGTGCCAGGTACGTGGCTCATGCCTGTAATCCCAACTACTTGAGAGACTGAGGTGGGAGGATCCCTTAAGCACAGGAGTTTGAGACCAGCCTTGCCAAAATAGTGAGACCCAATCTCCCAAAACAAACAAACAAACAAACAAACAAAAAACCATTCTAAACTCTACTATTCTATCAAAACAAGACAACTACTTTGTTTTTTGCTATTGGAACCCAGGGAGAAAAATCAAGTGCAAGGTTACCAAAAAATATCTTTTCTCCTTTAAATATAAACAGAGACAGTGACAAGGACTGGTTACATCACCTTGATCAGTTGTTACTCTGTATTATGTTTTCCACTGGGAAAAACGACACTGTGCCTAATATTTCTAGGCATGATGCAATTCTACCTTTGTTTTAACTACAATGTTATAAAGATACGATTTCTCTTTAAAAGATACAATAGATGCCTCTTAAAAAAAATAAAGCTCTGCAAAGAGTCCAAAGTAGCTATACAGATGTTTGTATTTTAGTCTAATCATCACTAGCCACTGGATTTCCTTTCTGTAGTAAAGGTCTGACCTGAGAACTCTAAAGACTTAAAATCTAAGTTTTAGCTCTGATAGGATCCAAATGGAATGTGGGAAGAAAAGATGGCTAAAAGGAAAAATGAACTAAGCACTAGAGAGGGATAAGCCTCTGTGGTTCTCAGACTATCAATCAGTCAATAGTTTATGTCAAGGAGGGTGTATGTAGCAGAGAGGGGCATGGGTGTGTGTGCATGTGCCTGTCTTGAAATGTTTCTTGACTTGGATGGTAGATAGGATACTTGCTTTGCAATAATCTATTACACTATACAATATGTCTGTTGTATTGCAAAATTTAAAAAAGGAAACGGAATTTGAGACTTCTAACAACTAAGATTTATTTTAAAAATATATGAAATAAGGGGGGAGGGGGCATGGGCAATATACGTAACCTTAACACTTGTACCCCCATAATACGCTAAAAATAGATATATATGTGAAATAAATATGGGAAAATGTTAAATGTTAAATATGGGGTGTGGGCATATGGGAATGTGTTAACATGCAGTATGTTTGAAAGTGTCCAAATTACTTTGAGCTGATAAAGTAAATAGATGAATCAAGTTAAAGCAAAATCATAAATTTAATCTTGTTCTATCAAGTTAATCTTGTTCTATTCCTCAATAGTTTCTTTTGTGACTTTCATCCCATGTAAAAAGATAAGGCTTATGGTGCTAATTAAAACTGCTAGGCTTACTAGCTGGGGTGGGGGCAGATAGTCAGAAAAAAAGCATGATTCATAAAATATCTGTTATTAATCTATTAAATTTTAAATTACTTCACCAATTTACTTTTTTTCCTTTTCACTTCCTGTTCTTCCAAGCACAGATATACAATGCATATATTCTGAAATATACACATATTTTTAAATTTTCTGTTCTAGGATTATCTGTCTGCTTTTCTTCCAGCAGCTACTGGCTTTCAGAACAAGAAATGAGGCCAGGTTTGGTGGCTCACACCTGTAATCCTAGCACTCTGGGAGGCCCAGGCGGGAGGATCGTTCAAGGTCAGGAGTTCTGAGACCAGCCTGAGCAAGAGTGAGACCCCAAGAAAGAAATTATCTGGACAACTAAAAATATACAGAGAAAAAATTAGCTGGGCATGGTGGCACATGCCTGTAGTCCCAGCTACTCGGAAGGCTGAGGCAGAAGGATTGCTTGAGCCCAGGAGTTTGAGGTTGCTGTGAGCTAGGCTGACGCCTTGGCACTCTAGCCGGAGCAACAGAGCCAGACTCTGTTTCGAAAAAAAAGAAAATTCACTTAACTTGCTTTCTGATTCTTCCACAGAACATTCCTGGGAATCAAAGCTAGTATTATCTTTCACATCTACTTAAATTCAGGAATATCTAGAATGAAATATGGACCAAATTATGCAAAGATGGATACCAGACCCACTGTTGACTTGTCTAGGAAATTTACAGATACACAAAGTAATTCTATTCTAGGTTTCAAAAGTTTGAGCCTATAGCTTCAATAGGCAGAGCTTATGACCCTGCATATGGGATAAGGGAAGACTATAATATTTACATATAATAAACTGATGGACATAGACTTTCTTACTAGTTATTTCATTATCTCTATATCAAACATTTTCAGAAGGGTAAAAGAATGGGCCAGCCTCAGAAGAAAAGTGGCAAGTGAGAAAAAAACTAATATTGCAATATACAGAAATCAAGGAACTGCAGAACACTTAGGGGGAGCTCAATAAATTACAGTTGAATTAACTTTAACAGAGAGCTGCTTGAATTCCACACTTCACTGCTCAAACCGCAGGTATCACAATGCAATTTATCGGTTTACGGCTGTGCTGTGGGTACCATCTGAGAATCCAGAAATGATTAGTTTATGCAAAACAGCTACAACCCCGCAAACCAGGCACTCTCCACCACTTCAGCATTTCGATTTTAAATGTTACACCGCTGTGCGAATATTAGTGAATTGGCAAACATCTACTGGGCAAATGGGACCTAGACTTCAAACAAAGACTGAAATCTGGAAGGCCACAAGTAAACGGAAGCTGAAACTAGCTCACCCATTCTGCTAGCCAAAGATTTCGTGGAATCTGCTAAAATTCTCTTTCCCATACAAAGGTAGATACTCTTCCCTTGCAAGGTGATAATTTAATCATCTTGTTGGCTGAGTGGGTGGGGCCGAGTCAGAGAATTCGTTCAGGAAATTATTAAACGTTTGACCCGAAAATCGGCGAAAAACTTTCAGGCCAAGTCCCTAAGATCCCTGAACTCCTCTACATGCATGCTTCCTCCCCACTTTGGGGCTGAAGTCTACCCCGAAGTCGGAAACTACCTGCGCTAGATTTCAGTATGTGCCAGGCACGGCTCACTACTCACTGCTTTCAGGCAATTCTAATTAAAACACCAAACCGCAAAATCCCTGTTGCATGGGTAAATAAACCGGTGAAACCTACTCACAAGACGGCTCCCACATCGTGTCCCAAGCACCTCTTAGAGCTCCCAAGAGTACAGACTCACCACCCAGGTCCTTTCCTCTCCTAGAGCCCACAGGCGGCTTGCCTAAAAGTTCCACGGGTCACACATTCTGAACTTGAAGACTGGGGTCTCCTACAGTGACGCCCGGCAGCTACTTACCGGCACATTGTTGACACCTTGTCCTTTGGAAGCTATCAGGAGAATTTCCCTGAAGTCCATGTTTGGCTGAAGCGGGGGAGACTATGCTAGGCACTCGGAAAGGAACAAGAGTGCGCCTTAACGAGGCGCCCGGCTACATATAGCCTAGCGAACTGCCTCAGCAACCCCTCTCCCTCCCTTCTTCAGCACGACCACTTCCGGCGCCTTCCAATGCCGTCTGGACACCCGCTTCCCTCAGCAGCCTATATACTGCCAGCGCCGCCCCTGCGCTCGCGAGTCCCTGCGTAACTTCCGCTTTTAGGCCCGAGACACGTAGAAACGTGGTACGTGGCTGCCGGCGTCGGCCCGAAGGGGCGGGATTAGGCCCTTCAGCGACCAAGGAGATGCGGCCTGGTAGGCTGCGGGGTGGGGCTACAGGGGAGATGGTGGGGGAGCGGCTTCCCTGGCAGCCAGGCCGTGAGGCCTGGTAGTCTTGGGGTTTCTCGTGAGCTCTGGATAGGGAAAGCAAGGGGGTGAGGGTTACCTGCCAGGTCTGGACGAGTATCACGGGTGGGCACTCAGATCCGAGACGGCGGCGCCGCCACAGTGGAACCGACGGGTCCCGAGCCAGGTATTTTTCTTACCGGCTGGTAGGCGCTCGCGAAGCTGCGCAGGCGCACACGGCCTTGACTGGTGTGTCTCGGATGCACTTTACTCCTCACCTGCTGGCACTTGCCGTGCGCTCGCCTCCCACGCAGATGCTAGCTTGCAGGGTATCGCGCTTTCCGCTTTTGCTCTATTTAGAAAATAAGCTCCACGTAGGGAAGCCAAATTGGTTTTTTTCTAAGAGAATGGAGGAATACTTCACAAATAGAGTAAGCTTTGACGTACTTTCGTGCTCTAGTGAACACGTATGCCTCATATTCATTTGCGAGCTTAGTTCTAGCTGCTGCTTTTTTTTTTGAGACAGTCTCGTTCTGTTGCCCGGGATAGAGTGCCACGGCGTCAGCCTTGCTCACAGCAACCTCAAACTCCTGGGCTCAAGTGATCCTCCCTGTCTCAGCCTCCTGAGTAGCTGGGACTACAGGCATGCGCCACAATGCCCGGCTAATTTTTTTCTGTATATCTTTAGTTGTCCGGCTACTTTCTATTTTTAGTAGATAACAGAGTCTTGCTCTTCCTCAGGCTGGTCTGCAACTCAAACTCCTGAGCTCAAACGATCCTCCCGCCTCGGCCTCCCAGAGTGCTAGGATTACAGCGTGAGCTACCACGCCCAGCCTCTAACTTCCTTTTGAGAATCATCTTGGGTCTGTAAGGTAATTTGAATTCGGTGGCTCACGCCTGTAATCCTGGCACTCTGGGAGGCCCAGGCGGGCGGATTGCTCAAGGTCAAGAGTTCGAAACCAGCCTGAGCAAGAGCGAGACCTCGTCTCTACTATAAAAAAAAAAGAAATTAATTGGCCAACTAATATACATAGAAAAAATTAGCCGGGCATGGTGGTGCATGCCTGTATTCCCAGCTACTCGGGAGGCTGAGGCAGGAGAATCACTTGAGCCCAGGAGTTTGAGGTTGCTGTGAGCTAGGCTGATGCCATGGCACTCACTCTAGCCTGGGCAACAAAGTGAGACTGTCTCAAAAAAAAAACAAAAAAAAAAACCCCACTTAAAAATAATTAGGCACACCTGGGTTTGAAGGAGGTACTGGGCCATGGATTGACATCAAACGGGTATTAAGGATTTTTTTTAGTGTGATAAAGATGCCCCCAAACTGGATTGCGGGGATAGTTCCACTGCACGTTGACTAAAAATCATTGTACACTTAAAACGGGTGAATTTTACAGTATGTAAATTATATGTCCATAAAGCTGTTACAAAATATTAGGCAAAGCTGTTGTGTTTTCCTCTTTCAATTGACGTTTTGATGGTGAATTGGAATTTCTCCACTTCTGGCTGCCCAAGGAACAAACCAAGATTAAGCTTTTGTCCTAGGGAAGAATTGAAATTCTCAACTTTCTTATTCTGTGTGGGGAGCCCAGCATAGCATATAGCTCATTGATACCATACTTACCTTTCAAATACGTAACCCACCTGTGTTAAATAGTTCACTCCTGCAGGAGGCCAACTCTACAAATATTTTACCTTCAAGATTTCTGGGTTACGGGCCAGCGGTGGCTCACGCCTGTAATCCTAGCTCTCTGGGAGGCGGAGGGGAGCGGATTGCTCAAGGTCAGGAGTTTGAAACCAGCCTGAGCAAGAGTGAGACCCCGTCTCTACTATAAAAATAGAAAGAAATTAATTGTCCACCTCATATATATGTAGAAAAAATTAGCTGGGCATGGTGGCACATGCCTGTAGTCCCAGCTACTCGGGAGGCTGAGGCAGGATTGCTTGAGCCCAGGAGTTTGAGGTTGCTGTGAGCTAGTCTGACGCCAGGGCACTCCTCTAGCCTGGGCAACAAAGGGAGATTCTGTCTTAAAAAAAAAAAAAAAAAAGATTTCTGGGTTACATGGAGCCTTAGCCGGGGTGTGATATATTGAAAAAAAGTGACAAGTCTCAGGTTCCTCATCTGTAAAAATTTGAGACTAAGATCTCTAAATTTTCGATTGGTTTAGCAGGTAGAGCGATCCTTCAATGGTTTCCCATTGTTCTTAGGATAAAGAACAAAATCCTAACCCCAACCTCATTCTTCAGTACTCCATAAGCTTTTTGTGGGTGATTATCTGGGTTTAAGCCCCAGGTCTATTGATTCCTAGGAATTTAGGCAAGTGCTTAAGCTTTTTATATCTCAGTTTTATCATCCATAAAATTAAAATAACAATGACAGGACTGTTATAAAAAATAATGCATGTAAGGAGTATGGATCAGTACCTGGCTGTTGTGGGTTGACTTGTGTCCCCCTAAAATTTCTATGTTGAAGTCCTAACCCCCAGTACTTCAGAGTGTGACTGTATTTGGAGATAGGGACTTTAAAAAGGCAATTAATTTAAAATGAAATCATTAGGGTGGGCTCTAATCCAATATGATGGGTATCCTTATAAGAAGAGGAAATGTATAGTCAGGTACAGAGGGAAGACCATGTGAAGACACAGGGAAGAGACAGCTATCTACAAGCCAAGGAGAGAGACCTCAAGGTACCAACACCTGGATCTTGGACTTCTAGCTTCCAGAATTGTGAGAAAATAAACTTTTGTTGTTTAGACCACCCAGTCTGTGTAACTTTATTATGGCAGCCCTACTAAACAAACTGGCATATGGTGAATGCTCAAGTAATATTAGGTAGGACTTCTCAAGGACGCTCTCTGTGAACTATTAATAGCTCAGGGACCCTTAAAAATTCTTGCTGCCCCCAGTATTTCCCTTCATGGAACCTTTCACAGTTTGTGAATTACAGATTCTAATTACTGGCTATATTTTGTGCTAAATGGTAAGATCTATGAAAACACAGATAAGCCTATTTTACCCATCACTGTTCCCAACACCAGCACAGTTCCCTGCTTGTACACTTAAAATCTGCAACAAATATCTTTGACCAAATTAATAAATTGTTCAAAAAACTCCCAATATTCATTATTATAATACTTAGCATATATTAAGCCCTTACTTTATGCTAAGTGCTTGATGACATGGATTATTTGATCTGATCATAAATGCCTGTAAGGTGCTTCTTGTTACTTTTTTTTTTTTTTAAAGAGACGGGGTCTTATTCTGTCACCCAGGCTGGAGTACAGTGGTATGATCAGAGCTCACTGCAGCCTTGAACTCCTGGGTTCAAGTGATCCTTCCACTTCAGCCTCAGCTGGGTCCACAGGTGTGTGCCACCACACCTGACCAATGTTTTTGTTTTTTGCACAGATAAGGTCTTCCTGTGTTGTCCAGGCTGGTGTCAAATTCGTCAAATCCTCCCACTTCAGCCTCCCCAAAGTCTGGATTTTTTGAGGCAAAAGTCACCATTTTCCTTGTTTGCTGGCAAATTAATAAACTCTTTCCTTCTCAAACCATTTGTTCTCTTTCTGATGCAGCCTCGAAGACAAGTGCCAAGCTTTTCGGTAACAATTTACAAACTTCAAAAAGTTTGAAAATAAGCAATGTTGGTGAGGGTCAAAGAAATAAGACACTATGGTGGGAATACAAATTAACCTACTTGAAGACAATTTGGCAAAATAATATTAAATAAATTAATAAAGCCTAATGCTTTGTTGTATTTTGTGCCAGGCACCCTTCTAAACAGTTTTCATATATTAACTAATTGAATTTTCATGGCAACTCTATGAAAGAGGTACTGTTAGATAGGGGGAGATTGTGGCACAGAGTGATTAAGTGACTTTTGCAAGTTCACTCAATAAGTGCTAAACCAGCACTTGGCTCCAGGCTGTGTTCTTTTACAATATACTTTCATCAATCAAATGTCTAAAATGCAACTACTCGACTTACAAAGGAATATGTTTTACCAAAATATCCACACAGACAATTGAACAAAGGTATTCATTGCAGCATGGTTTGAAAAAGCAAAAAACTGAAAATAACCTGAATGTCCATTAGTAGGAGACTAATTAAATATATTTTGGTATAACCATAAAGTGGAAAACTATGCAGCCTATACAAAGAATGAGGAAGATCTATCTCTAAAGGGATGGAGGCCAAGAACATGATCTATTATAGAAAACGTTGCCTGTGTGGAGGAGAGGGTTCACAAGAGGGAGCAAGGCTGGCTTCTTAACTGCATTTGGTGCTGTTTGAATGAATGTTTTTACTTGTGCATGCACTGTTGCTTTAAAACAATTTTTTTTCTAGGTTTTAAAAAAGATTATGATGGCCAACAGTTTTGTAGTGCTCTCCACTTTATAATGGGCTCTCACATACATGAATTTCTTTGATCCTCAGTCTTCAAGGAAAGCCATACTCACCCCTGTCTGCAGAGTCATTTTACAGACATGATGCTATGTCATAGAACTCCATTTGGAATGGACTCTATGGAACATCGGAGCTGCTGTGGTTATGCTGCTTTTTTTTTTTTTTAAATCATTGTCAAAAGAAAAGAAGCCAAACTTTGCAACATAATTTAAAGAGGTTTGTTCTCAGCCAAATTTGAGGACCATGGCCTGAAGCCACGCCCAACAAGCCTTGAGCAAATGGACTTGCTGTGGTTGGGTTACAGTTTGATTTTATACATTTCAGGGAGACAGGAATTACAGGTAAAGTCATAAATCAGTACATGGAAGGCATACTTTGGTTTGGCCTGAAAAGGGAGGACATCTCAAAGCAGGGGCTTATAGGTTATAAGTGGGTTTAAAGATTGGGCTGGGGCGATGGCTCACACCTATAATCCTAGCAGTCTGGGAGGCCGAAGCAGGAGGATCATTTGAGCTCAGGAGTTTGAGGTGAGCTCAAACTGTGAGCCAGGCTGACACCACAGCACTCTAGCCTGGCAACAGAGTGAGACTCTGTCTCAAAAAAAAAAAAGAAAATTAAAAATTCTTTTAAAATAAAATTTAAAAAATTTTTGATAGTTACTAATAAATTGTCCTCCAAAAAAGCATACCAATTTAGATTCCTACCAACAATGTATCAGGGCACCCTTTTCTCTATACCTCATCAGATCTGGATATCATCAAACTTAAATTTTTGCTAATTTGATGGGTGAAAAATATCTCATTGTTGCCTTATTTTGCATATCTAATTACTAGCCAGCATCTTTTCATATGCTAATTGATCATTTGTTATTCATTTTCTTCTGTAAGTTGTTCACATCTGTGGGGGATATTTTGATTATTTCTCTGGCATCCATCCCACACCCTGTCCAATTGTATGGCAGAAATTCCATGTGGGTGGGATGAACCACACTCCCAACTCTAGGGTAGACCTCTCCAATCCCATTGCCATAATCTAATCAATTTAATCCAGTCCTCATTCTCTAAGTGATTACATTAAAGAAGCCCTTCCATCCAGGCCAAATCAAATCAGGCAGGAACGACATGGTAGACACAGTGCCTGGGGCCCACAATCCTTTCAAAAGCACATGAAAATGTTTTAATTTAAAATCAGACAGAAAAAAATGAACTTTAAGGTGAAAGAAGATATTTTTTAATATGTAATATTAGTATGCTCATCTTTATCTCCAATGTAGTCATAAATTATAATTTTAAAAATATGTTTTATGGAAAAAGGGGTCCACAAAGGCACAAGTATCTTGGGGTACAAAATACAGGGAGTACATTAGATACAAGTATCTAGGGCCCAGGAAAGTCACAATGTGGCCCTGCAGTCAGGCCCTGCCATTCCCTTTGTCTGGGGCTTTAGAACATGGCAGGGAGAAAGGACTGCTCTGGGGGTGGGGGAGGTATGCCACTGTGAGGCCTGAAATGGCTGCAGCCACTTTGCTATCACAAGGGAAGCTGACATACTGAAGAGAACAGAGTAAAGAGGAACACTGAAAAATGCAAGCAGAGCTCTGAAGCCTCATGCCTTTGTGCTTAAAACACCTAATTTTTTTTTTTTTTTACCAAGTAATACTGCATGCATTCAAACTTATTTAAAACTGAGGGTTCTCGACCCCATGCTCCACAGGTTGCCTCCCCAGACACAACCACCTTCAACTCTTCTGGATGCTTCCCTGATATTCAACTTTATGTCTCTCTCTATAGATAGATAGATAGATAGATAGATAGATAGATAGATAGATAGATAGATAGATGGATGTATATATCTTTATGATTGCTGTGTCCTGAGTTTTCAGTTTTAGACACTATTGGCATCTCACTGTGCTAGATGTAGCTCTCCCATTCCATCACTGCCTATTCCTCCAATTTCTCAACATAGATAATACCACAGTTTTTTAGGAAATAAAAGTCAATATTTACATTATTCTTTTGCAACTATTGTTTACCATTGAGGCATATAGTATATAAACAAGTCTCCTTTCATGTACAACTAATTTTCTTAGAATTACTAATTGTCTTGTTTATTCCTACGCCAGTTTTCATAGGTCTATTGCTAATTTTCTCCACATGTCAAATATTTCTGTCTCATGCCTAGCAATAACATTTTCCTCATGCTCAATCACACCTGCCCTGTTGTGTGTGCCTGCCTTGCTATTTTCTTCCCAGAACCCTCTCTCCTCCTGCTCCCACAGGCACTGGTAGGTGTCCACCTTGCTGCAGTGCTGTTACCCTGTGATTTCTGTTTGTTCCCCTGCACTGCAGGCACTTATTCCTGGATCCCAAGTCTTCCCCCATCACACTCTATCATTTTTCTGGAGTGCACCTTTATAATGGCTTTGTAGAATGGGGACAAGAGAGTTGGATTTTTTTTTTTTTAGTTCTTAAATGTCTGAAAACATCCCTATTTGCTTTCCTTACTTAACTGAAAGTTTGGCTGAGTATAAAATTTGAAGTTAAAAAAACTTTTCACAAACACAAGAACTACTGTGCAACCCAGCCACTTGTAGGCATTTACTCAAGGAAAATGAAAACATGGGTGGGTGGGGCAGGTAAAATAAAAGAAAATGAAAACATATGATGTTCAACAAAGACTTGTACATGAGTGTAATTTATTTGTAATAACCCCAAATTGGAAACAACCCAAATGTTCACCAATAGGTGAATGGATACACAAATTATCGTACATCCATATAATGAAATACTACTCAGCAAAAAAAAAAAAAAAAAAGGATTGGGCTATTGCTACACACAACAATATGCATGAACATCAATCTTTATATTGATTGAAAGAAAATGGGAAAATAAGACTACATATTATAAGATTCCATTTATATAAAATTCTAGAAAATCAAAACAAATCTATAGTGACAGAAAGCAGATCACAAGTTGACTGGGGGAATAGGGTAGAAAGAGAAATAGATCTATTTCTAGTGTACAAGGACACTTCTGTGTATAAAAGTTCATTCACTTGAATTTTTGTTCTACCTACAAGATTTATTCAACTCAGGTTTTGAATATTTTATTTTAGCTATCTTTTTTTCCCGTTTGTTTTTCAGTTTACTTAAATCAGGGAAGAAGGAAGCAAAATAGTCCCACCATTCAGGAATTTTTAAACTTAATCTTTCTGATGTGAATCTAATGCTTTACTATTCCTTTCCACTGTGCTGGTATCCTAAGTTGAGAGCCTCTTTTAAGTTGATTTTTGCAGGAAACAACATACCTTCTTTGGTTAGGTACGGTGGCTCACTCCTGTAATCCAGCACTCTGGGAGGCTGAGGTGGGAAGATTGCTCAAGGTCAGGAGTTCGAAACCAGCCTGAGAAAGAGTGAGACCCCATCCCTACTAAAAATAGAAAGAAATTAGCTGGACAACTAAAAATATATAGAAACAATTAGCCAGGCATGGTGGCGCATGCCTGTAATCCTAGCTACCTGGGAGGCTGAGGCAGGAGGATCGCTTGAGCCCAAGAGTTTGAGGTTGCTGTGAGCTAGGCTGATGCCATGGCACTCTAGCCTGGGCAACAGAGCAAGACTCTCTCAAAAAAGTAAATAAATAAATAAATATCTTCTTTAAGCCTTCATCTATAAAACAGGCATAACGAAACACCTATTTCAGAGGTTTGTTGTGAAATTAAAGATGTAATAAATGCAAGGAACTTTGAACGGTACTTGGTAGCTACCGAGCATCTAATAAATGCGTGTAATTATCATTATTATATTATTTTATTATTACTGTGCCTTCTAGAGGGAAAGTAAATCAATACATGTAACCATCTTTCATGTTTAACCAAAATTTGTCCTTTTATGCTTTTTTTTTTTAGCTACATGAGCCTGTGCATATTCTTTTTGTTTAAAAATAATGATAGCTACATTTTACTGCATGTCTTCTAGGCAGTTGGGTATATATTATCATGCCTTTTTGTTATAAAATATTTCAGACAAGCAAAAGGTAGAAAGAATAATATAACAATGTCCTGTGTAATCACCGTCCAGTTTGTGAACAAAGACATTACACACATAGTTGAGACCCCAGTGTACCCATCTCAAGTCAGTCTCCTCACTCCACTGAAGAGGTAACAGTTATCCTGAGTGTGGAGTTTATCATTCTCATGCATGTGTTTATACTCTTACTACACAGTATTCTTTATGTTTAAACTGGTGTTTGAGTTGGGTTTTCTGTTGTTTGCATTTAATGCAAGGATACAATGTGTTTTGGAGGAGGAGTTGTTCAGTAGTACTGAAGAGTAGAGATGCCGAGGACTATGAAGTCTGAGAAGGTGCCTTTGAATTGGGATTTGTAGATACCGGTAATTATTGCCTTCCAAGACAGTAGTTTCAGTAGCATATGGGAGGGGCAGTGCAGAGCTCAATTACAAGGAGAGAAGAAAATGAGATGAGAGACATCAGGGGCACTGAGTCAAGGCCACCACTGGGAAATCTGGCAATAAATGGCAAGTGTCAGGACAGTAGTGTGAGAGGAAAGCTGGACACAGGGCAACTAGCCTTAGAGGAAAGATGAGAGTACACGTCCACACTGAAGGGAAAGCACAATAGGTGAGATGTATTCAAAGAGATGAGTAAACTCCAAGAAGAGAGGCGAAGGACACCGTGCATGCAGGGGCCAGTGCTTGCTTATCTCCATGTCTCTAGCCCCTAGCACAGGTCCTTCCTCATAGAAGGACATCAGTAAATGCTGGTTAAATGAACATATGGATTAAACAGAGAAGGCAAATTAGCTTTGGAAGAGGGAGGATACCTTTCCTCAGAGAAGAGCATAAAGAAAGAGGAAAGATGAAAACCGAAATATTTTGAAATGGATATGAGGCCATTTCAAAGTTATTGTGCGATAACTTTCACTTTCTCAGTCAAGTAAAAGACAAGACCACTTGCTGAAAGCGGGAACTGAGGAGAATGGATCCAGCAGATGATACTCTGATGGTTTTTCACTTACATGAACCAGCTGAAGCTCCTTGGTGTCTTTGAAGCAGCAATTCCAATTTTGGGGTGGAACCCACAGACATAAAACCATCAGTGCCTGAGGTTATATAATATGTACAAGGATATTTATTGCAGTTTTGTTGGCTAAAACCTACAATCTGGATGCTCTCAGTAGGTGAATGATAGAAAAAAACCCATGGTACACATTGCAACACAGTAGCTATTGTATTAATGCCAGTCTAAGTCTAATCAAAATAGAGAAACCACTTAATAATTTGAACAGAGACCTTCAATATTCAGAATTATTAACTATAATAGGGGATTAGAGT